TACTATAAGATTTTACGGAGCTGCAATTGCAAGTATCATCATAATGTTTGTTATTCTTATCATAGCAACGTTAAGTTTTTAGTTCACATTTGATGAACGAAGAAAATATTTTGCTGTGAATGTTTGCATCACGGAGGAAAATCTACAAGCTCTTATGAATAATATTGCAAAATGGAATCTATATCACTTTTAATAGCCTCTTTCCATTGTGGTCCTTCTCAAGAGTTTAAAGTTTCTTTAAAGTTTTGGGGTTTACTTTTCAGCATGTAAGTCAAAAAATCGAAACATAAGATTTTTCTTTCCTCGCTAATTTGCTATATCTTGGTTCAACCTCAAATTTCTCTTCTAGTCCTTGGTCCTGATTATTTTCAACCATAGTTTCAGTTATCCACTTCGAGAAACTTGCTTTCTCATTGGATCTTTATGAAAATACATGTTCAAAAAGGAAGCATTTCTTGATTCCATTATTATTTTTAGTATAAGCCTAGGATTTTAGACTCAAGTACAAGAAATCAATAAGTACTACTATTATATACACAGCCAGTGCTAGATGCAATATATAAATTTTCAACATATTTTCACCCTTTTTGGTGTAGTTTCATCCACTTTGACAAGACATCCCAATACTTGTAATTATTTATAGTGATACTTCCTCCCTTTCTATAACTCATATGGGCTCTTTTCTTTTTTTCTTCTAGAACACATTGTTTAAAATGTAATTTACTTATAGCACAGCTTCCACCAGATGTTCCATGATAATCTAGAACTTACTAACATTGTATTTATCATTTCTTTTAAAGTACACTATTTCTGTTTAGTAATACTATTTTTTTGGAGTGAATAAGGTGTTGTGGTTTTATGTGTGACTACGTAATGTGTAAATTATGCAGCAAATGATGCCTCATACTCACTGCTTTAGTCATTTCTCAAAATCTTAATTTTCTTATTGAGTTGATTTTCAATTTTAGTCAACTCAATTTCAATCAATAGAAAACAAAATTCTCTATAACTTCATTTTTGCCTTTAATTAAATACGTATAATATTTATTCTGTTATCGTTGACAAATGTAATAAAGTAATTGTTATAGTCTCTTGTCTATACAAATTTTAAATCACATATATCATTGTGAATTAAATTAACTGGTTTTGTATTTCTTTCAATAGATTAAAATGATGACCTTGTCAATTTTGTCTCAACAGAAGTTTCACACACACACACACACACACAAATCAATATGAAACGTGTATGGAATTCAAGTTAATTAATCTTAGAAAAATATTATAATTAATATGTCTTAGTCTATCATGTCATAAGTTAAAAGACTTAAGCAAGTAGGCAGAACCTTAAAATAATCAATGCAAAATATTAGAATAAATGTCTTAAGGAGAAATATTTGATAAACAAATATTATAATTCTTTAACTTTATTAATAGTTAATGGAACAAATATTTTGCTATCTTGTTTGTGCTAATACATTTCTATTGTTATGTAGAAGGAGGTGATAAACATACAAACAACACAGCAGGTAGATGGTGAAGGAGAGGAGAATGAAAGCCAAGGAGTACAACTCACTACTAATAACATTGCAACTCAGGTCCTTGCCACTACTTGCTACTATAATGGTTTGGGCAGGGGTCCAAAGGTTCCATGGGCAATATCTCGTGTAGACACGACTCAACGAGAGAGTGCCAAGCTTTGCCAAGTCGTGCACAATTTGCAGAGCCAAAATGAGTGTATACTTGCCTTGTTAAAAGAGATAATTCCATGTGTTACTCCTAGGATAAGCAGTCTTAGAGTTCCTACTACTCATTCATCATCACCACTTGATCACAAGTCACATTATAATCATTAGTTTAGAGTTATATTCCATTTATATGGTTTTATATTTTGATGGTTAATACTCCATTATTACATATGCTATTATTTTGGATTAAACTACTTTTCTCATATTGTGGAATTTATCTTGGCTTTTTATTTTAGACTCCATTATAGTTTGGACTAGCGTATTTACTTAGTTACTTATTTTGAAATTCACTACAAAAAAAATGGCATTTGGCAACATATAAATGGCAACATTCACCAATTGTATGTTGCTAAAAGGGGTTTATTGCAACATTTAGCAAATGCATATTGCCATTGGTTGAGAAAATAAAGATTTAGCAACGTTTTTTGAGTGGTTGTTGCTAATACACCCTTTCGCAACGTTCAAAGGCCGTTGTTGTTGTTTTTTTTTTTTTTGGCAACGTGCAATGCATGTTGCTGTAGATGTTTTAGCAACGTTCTTTGAACTTTACCGTTAATTAGTTTCAGCAACGTTCTGTGAACGTTGCCGTTAACAAGTTTTGGCAACATACAATGCACGTTGCTGTATATTTTTTAGCAACGTTCATCGAACGTTGCTATTGGTTGGTTTTAGCAACGTCCAGTCACTGAACGTTGCGGTTAAGTGTCTTTGGCAACGTTCTTTGAACGTTGTCGTTAATTTCTTAGCAGTGAATTCGACATTAAAATATAAATCATACAAAACTTGACCCGGACCCGACCCGCACCCGGAACCGAACCTGACCCTTTTAGTTTGTAAAAAACCCAAACCAGCCCTACAATGTCTTCCTCGTCTCTCATTATCGCTCCCTCTCCCGCAGCTCGCCGTTCTCACTCTCCTCGCCACCGTGAAATCTCCCCGCCATCGCGAACTCTCTTCCAAACAGGTAATTGATACTGGTTCTTTCTATTGCCTCTCGTGTTCATAGATGAGTTGATGTTAGGAGGTTAGGGATGAGATATTTGCTTGCAAACTTGATACTTTTCGTGTCTTCCTATTTGTTCGGTCTGGTGATATATTGTAAGAAAACAAGATAATTATGTAGAAGACATTTGGTTTTAAAGTCCACGGTTTCAGACTAAGAATGAAGAACTGTTGGGGACTGATCGGTTCTTGGTTTAGATTCGAAAAAGTTTGATTCTAGTTAAAATTTTAACTTCTATGTGTACCCATTTCAAGTTAATAGTTTCATCTAGATTTTGGAGAATTTTATTGGATATCCAAAATTATTTTATTGGAGAATCTAGATTTTCTTGAATCCCCTGCAGTCTGTTGATGTTGATGTTGGACATGAACTTGAATCTTTCCTTTACTCTTGTTGAGTAAATTTTTTCTTCACTGTGAAGAAGTGTACATGTTGACTGATGAATAGATAAGAGCGTGTTTGGCTATGCTTTAAAAGTATTCTCACAAGTAAATAATTAAGTATTCTCACAAGTAATAGATAGGTAAAGTTGCAAGGTAAGACACTAACATCCCTCGTAGTTACCTTACTAAAATTGACATACAGTGATCATTCACACCCACTTGATTCGCCATTGTTGTCATACAATAACATTAATCTAGGTACACACAAATAAGAATGGAATTTAGCATTAGCTTTTTTGAAAGTGATATAAAACTCTTCCTTGCACAATGTTCTATCAGCAATTCTCACTTTTTATTAACCACCACATTGTATGGATAAAATTAATAATGTGATTGCACACCTTTGTGTTTTCTAAAATGGCATCCCTATATTAGGTCCATATAACGTCCTTTGAGTTTGACAAAATTATGCTAAGCATTTTATCTTAGTTGCTTACAACTCAACAAAGCTATAGCTACTCCAATAGTAGTAGGAAAATCTAGAGCGATTGAACTTTCAGGAATAGATACAGGATTACATTGTTCTTCATTTCCGTTTTGCATCCAAATCTAAGTCATAGCTTTGTGTAGGAGAATGATGTTCATGTTCTATGGCCTTTTTTTTTTTTTAAGGTTTTGGCTTGGAGTTTTCTCTCTTAGTATAGCCATCCCTGCCCCTTCACTTTAATCCCACAACCTCTTATACCACTTTATTTGTTTAACATATCTTCACTGGGTGTTTTGGAATTATTATAGCAAGTCAGTCAAGTGAACAGGGGGCCATTTAGTTGACGATGATGCTGGACGAATAGCTGCCTATAATAGACCGAAGCATAGGGCTTTGTGATTAGCCTATAATAGACCGAAACAAGGGGCCATTTAGTTCACAATTTGAATTGTTGCTGTTCAATGTTTGATAGTATCATAATGGACAAAGAATGGCTGCAATTATCAAGGTTACTGTCTGAAATAAAATCTTATAAATCTAGTTTCAAAATTTAACAATAATAAAAAATGATCATACAATTGTTATTGTAGATTTTCAGAACAATACAGAGATGGAGCACGAAAGTTTGTAGAACTAGCTTGTGAAACTCTAAATTCAGAAATGATAGGATGCCCTTGTATCAAGTGTAGGAATCTAAAGCATCACAACTATGAAATAGTATATGAACATTTGATTATTAAGGGTATGGATCCTACGTACATTGATTGGGTATTTCATGGAGAAAAACCAAGTAAATCAAATTTGGTCGACGTAGAAATGCCTGAGTTATGTAGAATGTTTAGGGACTTCTATACGCAATATGATGTAGATTCTGAAAATCCTCATGATGGAACAGAGGAAGACATTCAACGTTTAGTTAGCGATGTGAAAACTCCTTTGTATCCTAGTTGTATGGCGTTTACGAAGATGTCAGTTTCAGTTGCTATGTTTAAACATAAAGCTGCACATGGTTTATCAGATAATGGTGTCAATGAACTCATATAACTTGTGCGGGACATGTTACCACAGAATAATACACTTCCTAAATCATTTTATGAGATGAAAAAACTTGTCAATACATTTAATCTTGGCTATGAGAAGATACATGCTTACTTGAATGATTGTTGTCTATATAGGAAGGAGCTTGAACATGTTGAATTATGTCCAAAATGTGGTTGCTCAAGATGGAAAGTTAACCAACAAACTAAGAAAGTTCAAAAAAAATTTCAGCAAAAGTCTTGCGTTATTTCCCTATCATACCAAGACTTAAGAGGATGTTTGAAATAGAAGAGATGGAAAAACAACTTAGATGGCACTTAAATAATAAGAGTTCAGATGGTAAAATGAGGCATCCGATTGATTCACTGGGATGGGAAATGATAAACAGAAGGTGGCCACATTTTGCATTAGATCATCGAAATATTAGATTGGGTCTTGCCACCGATGGATTCAATCCTTTCAAAGATCTTAGCTCTAAATATAGTTGTTGGCCAGTTATTTTAACTATATACAACTTGCCTCCCTTATCATGCATGTTGAAGGAAAATTTGATGTTGAGTTTATTAATCCCGGGACCAAAGCAACCAGGTAATGACATAGGTGTTTATTTGTTACCACTTATAGATGATTTAATATTGTTATGGAGTGATGGGATTGAGATGTATGATGCAGTTGCGAAGTCTACATTTAACTTAAAAGCTATTTTGATATGGACAATACATGACTTTCCTGCGTACGGAAATGTATCTGGATGGCCCGTCAAAGGAAAAATTGCATGTCCTATGTGTCGTGAACATACATGTTCAGTATGGTTGTCACATTTTAGGAAGTTAGCATACATGGGACATAGAAGATTTCTCCCATTGAGTCATCCATTTCATATGAAAAGGAGTTGGTTTGATGGACATATTGAAAATACATTAGGCCAAAGATAAAAACTGGTGAAGAAGATTCCTATGAAGTTGATCAAATTACAAATGATTGGGGCAAAAGTGGTAAGCGAAAGAGAAAGAAGAACATGACTCAATCCAATGTAACGTGGAAGAAAAAGTCAATATTTTTCAGGTTACCATATTGGAAGGTAACTCTAGTTATATCATTTCCTTTTTTAATACATCTAACTGCGTTTAGTATCTCATGAAACAAGTGATGTTTGATTTGTAGACTTTACTTATATGGCATAATTTTGATGTGATGCACGTGGAAAAGAATATTTGTGAGAGCATCATTAGTACACTTTTGAATGTGAAAGAAAAATCGAAAGATGGTATTAACTGTCGTAAGGACTTGGAAGCTATGAACATTAGGCATGATCTACATCCTGAGAGTAGAGGAAATAAAGTTTACTTACCTACAGCTCCTCACACTTTATCAAAAACAGAAAAACAAATATTTTGCAAAAGGCTTGCTATACCGGATGGTTATGGTTCTAATATTGGAAATTGCATTTCAGTGGAAGAATATAAGATAGTTGGACTCAAGTCTCATGACTGTCACCTTTTAATGCAACAATTACTATTAGTTGCACTGAGAGGACTTTTACCTAAAGGACCAAGAAACTCCATTTTTAAATTGTGTTCATTTTTCAATGAAATATGTCAATGAGTCGTAGATAGGAATAAGGTTGAAATTTTAGAAGAGGATGTTGCTGAAACTTTGTGCATGTCGGAAAGGTATTTTCCACCTTCCTTTTTTGATATAATGGTTCATTTAACAATTCATATTGGAAGAGAAGTTCGTCTATGTGGACCAGTTCAATATCGTTGGATGTACCCATTTAAGAGGTAGTACTCCTTATCCCTAGAAATTAAATCCACTATCAAATTGATTTCTACTTTATTACTTTTTTGGAAAATGTGTAGGTATATGAAAGTGTTGAAAGGGTACGTTATGAATCGTGTAAGACCTGAAGGGTGCATAGCTGAACGATATATTGTTGAAGAAAATGCAATGTTTTGTAGTAAATACATAAAACAAGCATCTTAAATAGGCTCTAAGCCTGCACGCAATGAAGAGTATGAGAGTGACTTCTTAGTTGCAGGTCGTCCAATCCAAAGGGAAGCCACTTGTACTATCTAATGAGATGCTAAAAGTTGCCCATCGCTATGTATTGCTGAATAGTGTAGAAGTGGCTCGATACGTACAGTATGTTTGTGAAGTATATACTTTTTAGGATTTTAAGTTCTTCGAGATTTCTTGATATATTTTTTTTAATTAGGATGCATATGGGTGAACTCAGGAGTTCTGACAAACGACTTGGAAGAAATGAGAATTTGTTGCATAAGAAATATATTGACACGTTTGCCACCTGGTTGCACAATAAGGTTGAAGTACATATATCGACCAGATTAGCATTTAATTCTGTTGTTTATTCTTTTATTCCTAACATGTTTATACTCATAATAGATTACGGGTCAATTGTTGCTGGACAATGTTTCAAATACTTTAAAGTGGCTTGCACGTAGCCCTAGATGTCAATCCATGTCACATTCCAGTTTTGTAATAAATGGATTTCGATTTCACACTAAAGATGCTGAAAACTCTCGCCAAAACATTGGCATTTTAGTTGAAGCAACAACCATCTGTAGATCTAGTGCAAAAGATAATGCACGTGTTGTTGGAAAAGTTTTTTATTATGGAGTTTTACGCGATATTATATTGCTTGACTATAATACATTTTATATTCCAATATTCAAGTGTGACTCGGCAAATATTGTTAAAGTAATAAAGAAAGAAGATGGATTCACTTTGGTTAACCTTCACGAGGGACACGGACAATTTGAAAATGATGCTTTCATTTTGGCATCACAGGCGAAACAAGTTTTTTATTCTAGGGAGAATGAAACATCTAATTGGTATGTTGTTTTGCAAGCATCACCTAGAGACTTTCACGCGTTACATATGGAAGAAGATACTTCTTATGAGGCAACTATTCCATTGGATGTAACACAAATTGAAGACAATCATGAGGAGGATGAGAATTTTGCAAGGATAGATGTTGAAGGCATATTATGTGATATATAAATTGATTAGTTTGGTAAATGTCGTTATACATATAACTGTTTAAATTACAAGTAGAACTTTGAATATCATTCTCTTTCTCTTATTGTTTGCAGATTCGTACTCACTCAATTGGCTTTTTGGAACTAGGTGATATTATTAAATATACGCATGATGGATAAAGCTCAGGTGAGTATGTTTCAATACACTTCTTAAGATGGTGACTTTCGAGAATAATTAACTTTATGCTATGTTTTCATGTTGCATTGTTTAAGTCAAATAAGCAAGCTTTCAAGAGTTCTAAAAGACGAAGCGCTGCGATTGCTGTTGCAATTCGGGAGACAAATAAAAGACTACGACCTTCTAGTGAACCTAGAGATACCATGTCTACTCCAATTACTGGTGATCAAAACATGACTTCGACAAGTGTAGATGCTACAAAAAAGAAAAGAGGTCCAACTCATTTGAAAATGGTTGCTGAAAATAACTATCAGAAAATGGAGCTTTAATTCAATGAATTCGGGCAAGTAGTTGGCCATAACTCTGATAAATTTGTCAGCATAGCCGGAGCCATAGTGTGGGAGTACGTACCAGTTGTTATTAAAAATTGGCCTTCAGTGGATGACAATAAAAAAATTGAACTTTGGAATTTTATACAGGTACATTTATTTAATATGATACTTTTTTATTATTGGTTATACATTTTTCCTTCAAAGCTCGATTGCCATTTTCGATCATATATTGACCATTTTTTATATTTGTGATAATTGTAGCAAAGATTCAATGTCAATGACTACCATCAAAAAATGGCATTTCAATGTATGGGAACATATTGGAGGACATTTAAATCGAGATTGAGAAGAGATATCAAACGTCAAGTTCCATCCGCTGTGAATAGAAAACGTGATATTGCCCTTCTTAGACCGAAGAATATAACCTCAGAAGAAGTATGGGAGAAGTTTTAGAAGATACTCTTTCCACTTATTTTCAGGTAAGTTATATTTTCGTATGAACTTTAAACTTTGTAGTCAATTATTGTTGGTTTATATTTTTTTTCTTGATAGGAGAAAAGTTCTAAGTTCAACAAAATGAGAAGTAGTCAGAAGCTTCTCCATACTATGGGTCGAAAGGGTTATTCACGTATGGCTCATGATTTGGTACAAGAACTATCTTTCTTTATTTTTGATATGTGTCTTTATTGATTTCATATACGTGTCTGTGATTGAGTTCAATATTGTTATTGTAGAAAAGAAAGAATCCAAATATAACAGGATTGAGAACGACAGTATAGACTCATAGACATCTTCGAAAGGATGGAAATCCAATAAATGAGGCGGTTGCTGAAACTTTGGTACATGTATTGTGTGTGTGTGTATATATATACACACACACACACACCAGAGAGTGTGTGTGTAGATCTAGTGTAACATTTAAGTTTCATAAGTGCAGATGAAGATAAAAGATTGTGCCGAGTCAATTTCTGATACACCAGCCGAAAATTCTATTTGAGATGATGCTATTGCTTGAATTTTAGGTCTCGAGCGTCGTGGACGAGTAAGGGGACTTGGACTTGGGGTTACACCATCAAAAATAGATGAAAATACACAAAGCAGTGAGAAAGTGAGAGACCTTGAGATGGAAGCACTCAAAGAAAATTACGAACTCAATCAGTAAAGATGGAAGCACTCGAAGAAAAGGTTGAAGCACTTCTGAAGTTATCCCAGGTTATACTTTGCTATTGCATAGAATATGATAGCGTAACTTAATATATCTTAACATTTCAATAAGTTTAAATTTTTTGTATTATTTTGCAGAATCAAAATAAGAATGTAGAGGATATGAGTTCACGTACTTTTACTCCATAGGTTTTTGTATTGTATATTATTTTTTCAATATAAATTTAGATTATATCATACTAGTATTAAAAACAGACTTTATTTTAAATGTGAATTTGTAGTCTCAACAAGGAAGTGGTATGGAGGGAGGTATTGCACCAGTAGAAAATTGAAAGTGTCAACTATTGCACTGGTACTTGGTTGAGGAGGAAATTGTAGGCGAAGGGAAGATTGCATCAATAGACCCAAGTACAAATGTGCATCACGTGCCACTAGGACGAGATTGTTGAAAGGTTTGGGTTGACAAGGTGTACATGAGTCATTTGCCCTTATATAGACCAATGGAAGAATTTCGAGTTCTTAGTGACGCCATAGGAAGTACTATTGTTTGGCAAAAGAGCTGCGTTAGACTTATTTGACGAAGGTACTTTATAAATTTCTACATTTTTTTTTCATTTACATATTTGTCATTAAACATGTTTCAAGAGTGGCTATATACATGTGCATACACAAGTCCACAACCTTGAAGGTGGAAGTTTGTTCATGGCATTACTAATGAGTGCACAATGACTTCTCTTAAAAAAGAAATAGATCTTATTTTTAAAAATCGATCAAGTATTAATTATGAGCTTGTATTCTTGAGTGTGTGATTCAATTTTTTCTTTAAATGACATAAATTTGCTGCTATATATGTTGAATGAGTATAGATTGGTTATGTAAAAAGAATGAATATAGTTGTGTCCTAAAAAGCTTTAAATGACATTGTATTGTTTCTAAATTGCTTGCTCTTTTTGATTAATTTGTTGTTATATTCTTTCTTTCTTGCAGTTACATGGAGCTGAAGTGAGTTCGAAAATCTCTTTTGTGCTTGTATCATTTTGGATCTCGTCTATGTAAAAAGATTTGGTTGGGACTCGTTAGAAGCTTTGGTTATGAATCGTTTACATAACTTTTGGACATTTTTCATAGTTCTTTGGTTAGATGGTGTATATTTTTGAATTGAAGTATTTATTATGTTTTGATGAAGTAATATTGCATATCGGATCATGTTTATTGGCTTAAATGAAGCACTTTTAATTTTTTGTTGGCTTAAAGTACTTGTGCATAGATAGTAAAAATATATTTTTAATTCACAGGTTTAATTGGCAAGAAAAATGTAAAATAATTGATCAGAAAAATAAAAATAACATTTGCGACAAACCCCAGTTTCGGCAACGTGCATTTACACGTTGTCGAAACTCTTCGCTCTATGGCAACGTTTCATCCCACAATAGACGCTTGAACGTTGCCGTAAGTCTACGGCAACGTATTCTGCCTGTTGCCAAAAGTAGTTTTTGGTGTAGTGATTGGAATTGACTTATAATGATACGATATAGTATTTTTACTTGCAACTATTTTGCTAGAGGCTTTTGATTGTGACTATTGTTTTAAAATTTCAGATATTTCTTGACTTTGAACTTTTATTGGTATATTGTGTTTGGGTTAGCCTTTCAATCTATTTTATAACTTTCATTGTCAGAAAATGCAATTAAACTTTATTGCGTTGAATTTCCTTGATCGGCAAATTAATTCTTTTCCCATACAATGTCACTTGATTTTTTGGTTGGTAAATGTCACTAGATTTTTTGGTCGAAAAATGTATATTATTCCTGGCCAAATGTTGGTCAGCATATGTTTACTACCACTAATCATGACTTGTTTATTGCCAACTTATTTAGACATTTACCGACCAAAAGAGTGCTCAGGAAAAAGCTTTACATTTATCGACAAACAATGTTTTGGTCAGTAAAAATCCCTATGTTTATTGACTAAATTACAGTTTAATTGGTAAAAATCTTTGTTGGCCGGCTTTTGGTGACCATGACCAACACTTTTCCGTCAATGATTTGATTTACCGACTAGTAATGAGCTTTTAGCGACCAATCTCTTAGTGAGCAAAACTCGCATTTCTTGTAGTGCATTGATCTTTCATTTTCCATCGTCAATGCAATTTGTCTTAATTTTTTTGCCATCACGTAGCAGCATGACCATGCAAGCATGTAGCAACTGATGACACTCGCTTATCCTTTCAATACTTCTTGAATTTGAAGATCTCTTCCACCACACGTAACCAATCCTAATTAGAGTCATCAATTTCCATATAACCTCGAAATTGGGGATGCGTACTCGCCTCCAACTGTCTATAATTCCCACTGGTCTCGCTCCAATTTCCAACAGAGTGTTCCCTGCCATCTCCTGGACATAGTCGCCAACACGACCTTGCCTTAGCCTTCCATCACAGCCACAACGTCATTTTCCATAGATATGCCTTGCCATGTCTTGTTGGTGCATGTCGCCAATCAAGTAACCTTCTATATCAGCACTTGGAGCTGTTACCAAATTTGTTCCAACCATTAACATCATTATTCTGGTTACCACGACCTCCTCTTACCATCTTTAGGAATACTATTGATCTTTGAATGATGTAGGACAACTTACAAAATCAAGTCACTAATACTATGTACTAAATGTTGGAATATTGTGGTGATAATGAAACTGGATTGTCATCTACCATATGTATAGTTTAGATATCAATTTTAAGCATACTGTATATGTATGTACCGTATATGCCGCTTACCTTATTTGTAGGTAGCTTGCCGTATATGTAGCTTACCGTATTTGTAGGAAACTTACCGTATTTGTAACTAATTGTATATGCTGTCTACCGTATTTGCAAAAACCTCATCGTATTTGCATAAAGTTTTCACAAATTGTTTTTATTAGTGAGTGACTTTACACATATTTGCTAGATACTGTATATGGAACTAACATACCGAATATGCACTTACATACACCAAAATGTAGAAATACCGGATTTGCATATATTATCTAAATAAATACTGATTGGAAACTATCAAATTGAATGTTATCAAATTAATTAATTTTCTTTTGAATTTTTTGTCGACATACATATAATAAACTATAAAATTATATAAAGCACATATAACAAAATAAATTGAAAAATCTACGAAGCATAAGATTAAACTGCAAGTAAATTCCAAATAAATCTACAAGAATAAATCGCAAATATGTGAATTGCAGAAAATAAATAACTATTCAACCCAAGGCCTGTGCGAGCACAGTTTCCTTAAAACAGATTCGTCCCCTCATCGTGAGTGCTTATGGTTTAATCTGAGTGTCTGTTTCCCAGAATACAACGGTAAAACCCAAAGAATCTGAGTACCACAGAAACTACTCCGACGAACTGATTTAGAGTCTGATGCAAATGCAGATATTCGAACAGTGTAGAGGGGGAAGAGAACGATTTTTTCATCTAAGAAAATTGCTTGAAACTGAGTTTAAGTATATAAATTTAATTTGTCCATTAACCATTGGACTTATATCAGTTTCTAGAGTTTCAAAAACTCAAAAGTCAGGGGAAAAAGCAAGGAAAAAATTGCAAAATGTGGGTTCTCCAAAGGAGCCAATTTTTGCTTCGTTCGGTCTAACATTAATGTATGAAGGTCGTGCCTGCACATAAGTTCAAGATCCGAAAGCAATTTCAGTCCGAGATTTGCACCCCATGTGCGCGCACGTAGAGAGAGTTTCTATGCTACACATGATTACACATTTTCAATGTATAGCCATATTTAAAGTGGTTCTTGCTTTCATATTTTCCCTGTGTGGGACTAAACTCATTTTTTTCACATAAATCATCTTTCAATGGTCATCTTTGTGCTCCAATTTCTCATTCACCCAAACTTCATTTTTGGCAAATAAATATTTAATTTTGATGCTTTCACGGAGGAGAACACGAAACAACTTTGATATTCCAAATTGGACCAACGGGCCCCACCGAAAATTTTGCCAAAAGTGAGCTATTTACTCAATTTTTTTCCAACACTAAATTCACATACAATATTGAGCAAAATGTTGAAAATTTAGAAATCTTAAGAGAGAATTCTCGCATTCAAAAATCACCAAAAGTTTTAAAAAAGATAACTCCAAAAACACGTCTGAAATAGTTTATCGCCCATGAAATCTTATCGAATGTGAAAGACCACAAAATGAAAAAGACTCGTGTCCTAATGACATTATAATATTGAAAAGTTAAATAACATAGAATAAATAAATACAAAGAGATAAAATAGGCCCATCTAGTGTCGCAAAACGGTCCAGCTAGCCCACTTGTGTGGAATCTACATGAGTGTAGATCAGCCAGGCGCGGAGCCAGCACCCGGCAAGAGGGCGCGGTCGAGTGTGCTGGACCCACCGGAATCTGCAAAGATGTCAGGTAAGTAAGGACTAAGGAGTTGCAGACTACAGTTGCACCATTGGAGAATAACTGAAGAAGGAAGATGAAGACTGAAGTCTGAAGGAAAGACACAGCCGCACAGCCGGGTTTTTATTTTTTTGGTTGGGTTTGGGCTTAAGTATATTAAATTTTGGGCCTATTGTTATTTAACTTATTTAGCCCAAATGAATTTAGCCAACCCGTTACCCATAACCCATTTTATTTGGCCTTCACATTTTCATTTTTCAATCCCAGGGCTAGCAGAAGACGAGAGGCAGCAGGCAGCGGCAAGAATTGTAAATTTTCCCCAAATTACCAAACCTTTTTCCTCAATCTCACTTATTCTTGCTCCAAATTCACACCACAGACTTCAGGCATCAGACTTTTGGACCGGTGAGTGGTGACTCCTTCTTTCACTCTTTGTTATTATTATTATTATTATTTGGGTTTTGGTGTTGATGTGCGTAAAAATGCTAACAAATTTCAAGAATGGGAACTTGAAGAGTAATACTCCTGTCTCATGAGTCCTGAAGGAACGTATGTGTGACTTGTGAGAGAGCCAGAGAGGCGATGGGGGTGGAATTTTATGTTCTTGACTTGTGATTTGTGAAGCAGTGAATTGATAAATGGAATTCTTGAATGAAAAAGTGAGAATTTGAAGAAGGGAATAAAGAATTTTATTATTATTCTTTTTTTTTGGTACATAGTACTCCACATTGTAGAATTAATTATACAATATATTGAGGTTAATAAATCGTTTTAGTAATTTTTGAATATGTAAAAAAAAAAAAAATTCGAGAGTCGTATACGTGAAGTCATGTCACTATAAGTTAGTAAACAAACACAATATGCAATAAATACATAGAAAAATATGTTGTCGAAAAATGTTAAATTATTTTACTAGGGATTTCAATTTGTTAAATAAACAAGCAGCAAGGGGCGAAATAGAAGATCTTATAAATTAAGAGTATGATCAAGAAGCATGTCATCACATAAATCTTCTCATTTTTATAATTAATACAAGCAAAGACTAATAGATAGAACTCTTGCGTTAAGATAAATCACTAGAATTGCGTTAAGATAATTCACTAGAATTCTCACAATCTAAAGTTCTGGGCTTAGCTTTCATGGTAGTTGCTAAATAAGCACTAGAAGTGATGCTCACTTTGATTATTTAGACTTAGAAAGTTAGACATGAACTTCTTGTTTAAGTTGTATGTTCACAGTCTAGTATTGACTATTGAGCACTGAACTAAGCAAAATTGAAGGGGACAAAAGTTGAAAACAAAAATGACACTCAGAATTAGAATTAGAATTACCTTCTCATAAAGAATTAGACAAAAATTTAATGGAATTGGATCTTTGTGATAATGTATTAGTGAAACATAAAAAATTTCTCCAGAATGCTATAAATGGAACAAAAACTTGAAATTAAATGTACAATCTGGTTCCAGTAAGAAACTTGTTGACATTAGGTTTCAATCCCCGTGTTTGATGATGAGTAATTTATGTGAATTTATGTTTACGAAATTCTATTTGCGAATTATGATTTATGATGAGTAATTTATGATTTGATGAGGAAATATGATATTAGGAATGATTATTGATTTGAGAATTTACATTTAGGATGACATTTTGCAGATTATGGAAGATTTTTTCAACCGAAACAAAAGTGCATACCCAATTCTTCTATTTCTAGTTGTGGATCTAGTCCCGCCATTGATTCTAGTCGAGCACAAGAGTTATTGGATAACACAAAGAAATCTCGGGCTCAATTTAATGTGGATGATCTTGTATCTTATCCAGGGATACGCCCCCCTATCGAATCATATGATCCTAATATTAGAGATGTTAGGATGGCATACTTGGAGAAGGGTCCTTGTCAACCATATGAACATGATTTTCCAAGAAGACCGATGGGGAATGATAATAGATGTTTTCGGAAAGAATGGTTCTCCGAATTTCATTGGTTGGAATACAGTATAGAAAAGGATGTGGCGTATTGTTTGCATTGCTACTTGTTTAAACCTGATAGAGGGGGTCAAGGGGGTGGACATATATTTATTAAGACCGGCTTTAGGAATTGGAAGCACAAAAAGACATTGAAAGATAATGTGAGTCTCTTTGATAGTTCTCGTAATCAAGCTTTTGCAAAGTGTACCAACTTGATCAATCAAAAGCAAAGTATCTCTTACATTATTTCTAGCCAAAGTAGTAGTCAACAACAAAGTTATAGGACCAGGTTGACTGTGGTGCTAGATTGTACTAGACTCCTCTTGATGCAAGGATTGTCATTTTGTGGTCACGATGAATCAAAAGAGTCTCTTAATAGAGGAAATCTAATTGAGTTATTGAACTGGTATGTAGCTCGTTGTAAGGAAATTAAAGAATTATTATTTAGTAATGCTCCTGGAAATGACCAAGTGACTTCACCAACCATCCAAAAGGATTTGATTAATTGTTACGCCGTAGAGACGACAAGGGCTATTATCAATGAGATTGGTGATTCTTTGTTTTCAATTTTAGTTGATGAGGCTCGTGATAATTCTGCGAAAGAACAAATGGCAGTTGTTTTAAGGTTTATTGATAAAAGTGGGCGAGTGAAGGAGCGTTTTTTGGGTATATCCCATGTCACTAATACTTGTGCCCAATCATTGAAGGATGACATTGATGCAATATTTTCTACACATGGGTTGAGTATATCTAGTCTGAGAGGTCAAGGCTATGATGGAGCAAGTAATATGTCAGGTGAGTTCAATAGGTTGAAAGCTTTAATTCTTAGAGATAACCCACATGCTATGTATGTTCATTACTTCGCTCACCAGCTTCAGTTGGCAATTGTATCTGTGGCATGTAGGAATTGTATGGTTGATGATTTTTTGGACGTACTTGCTATTATTGTGAATTTGGTTGGTGCATCATGTAAGCGTGTAGATGCTCTTCGAACAAGATATCAAGCTAATATTCTGGAGAAGCTTAATATTGGGGAACTTACTGGTAGAAGTGGTCAGTTTCAAGAAATGAGTTTAGCACACCCAGGTGATACTAGATGGGGCTCACATTTATTAATAGTTACTCATTTCATTAATATGTTTAATGCTATTATAGATGTTCTTGAGAATATATCAGAAGATGGCATACATTCAGATCAAAAATCTTTGGCCTTAAGACAGATGAACAATATGCAAGATTTTGAGTTTGTGTTCAGTCCTCACTTTATGTTTGAAATTCTTGCAATTACAGATGACCTTTTACAAGCCTTACAGAAAAAGATCAGGATATTCAGAATGCTATGAGGTTATTGAATTTGTGTAAGTGTGCTTTGTAGAACTTGAGAAAGAATGGTTGGGATACTTTGTTCAGTAGGGTGATTGAGTTTTGTATTAATAGACATATTTTAGTGCCTAATATGGAGGATATTGTAGTGGTGAAAGGTCGACCTAGGCATGAAGCTCAGCATGTGACTTATTTTTATCGCTTTTATGTTGATTTGTATTGTCATGTGATAGACTCAATCTTGCAAGAGTTGAATGATCGATTTCCAGAAACAACTACTGAGCTCTTTACTAGCATTTCATGTTTAAGTCCAGGAGATTCATTTGCAGCTTTTGATAAGGATAAATTGCTACTTCTTGCTTAGTTCTATCCATTGGACTTTAATAGTGAAGAACTTTTATTTCTTAGACCTCAGCTTGATAAGTTTCTTTTGCTTGTGAGAATGGACGAAACTTTCTTTAATCTCAATAGTATATCCGTGTAGCTCAGAAGTTGATTGAAACTAGAAGTTCCTATTATTTTCCATTGGTTTATAGGCTGCTCACCTTGGCTTTGATATTACCTGTGGCAACTGCAAGTGTTGAAAGGGTATTTTCTACTATGAATCTAATCAAGAGTGATTTGCGCAACGAAATGGGTGATGTCTGGTTGAATGACAATTTGGTGATTTACGTGGAGAAAGCTATTTTTAAACAACTTGAGAATGAGGCAATATTGCAAAGTTTTCAAATCATGAGACCTCGTAGAATACAGTTGTCTAAGTTTGCAGTTACAGAGTAACTGAGTAAGGTTGTATCGTATATTTTTTTTATTATTTTGGGTTGTATCGAAGTATATTTTCATATGTATACGATTTTGACGTTTTAGTTCATTTACATATATATTGAATAAATTTTAATATTATGTAACCAAATTTTAATAAACGATCGGACAATTACGATCGTTGACAATCAACGATCGTCGGTCAATGGTCAATCCACCCTAACTAGACTTGAATCCTGGATTCGCCACTGAGATCAACCCCTTATATGATTTAAGACTATCTCACATGGCTACGTAATTAGCTTCCAACTGCTGTACTCCATCAATTTCCCATTCATATAGAGTGGGGGTATGACAACCTATGTAATGTATGGTATTCTATCCCGCAAACAAGCTCTTCTCTGGGCAACAACACAGGGCTTAACTTTTGATATTACAAAATTATTAAACCTCCATATCGGATCTTATAATCAGTAGTGCCATTTTCTAATGTAGAGGATCCTCACATTGAGGCAACTGCAAAGCATACTTCTAATACTCTTGAGATCTTACTTTTACTATTCATCTTGTTATTATCACAGTCGTCAAGACTTAGAACAAGGAAAAGCTTTTAGAAGCTTATAGAGATAAGAAACTATCTTCTTTATATAACCCATGTTTGAGCCACATTCTAGGAAAAAAATGCATTATTCATGTCAAATGAATGAAATATGTGCGATTAAAAAATAAGAAAAAGTTTTAGATTTGCGTGTAATATTATTTTATTGAAGAATGTGTAGTTGAAATGATGTCAACTCACTGTTGAAGAATGTATTTTTTTGAAAATAATGTGGCTCAAACAAGCCCATAACAAAAGAGTTGGGCTCGAGATGGAGAGTTTAACATGATTTTTGAAGCTAATGAGGGTCGACGATGCGTCCTGGTCGGATATGAAACGGTGACGAGTTAGCCCATTGATCGACTTGAGGCATGGACCAATATGAATTGAGGCTACGGCCAAAGCCCAGGCAATCGATATGCTCGTGGAATGCCATCGCATTCTATTACTTTCTTAGCCTCTATCTAGGAATGCTTTTAATCCCAATTCTATCGGAATTTGATAGATTGGTCAACTTTTCGTAATAAAATAATTGACCTGATTATGTCCAAAGTGCAACACAGCAGTTGTAGTATAGCTTCGGGGTGTTGTATACACAGGGAGATGGGAAAATAGTCCAAAGGTTCAAAAGCTAGGATTTTGTTGTGATTTTATGTAAATGTAACGTGTCAGTTGAAATAGAATTCAAATAACAATGTATAAGTTAAGGAAATTTAAATCAATGTGTGAAGCAGTGAAGTGCCGAAATCCCCTCGATTAGATTGGATCAATCAACGTCAATTTTGCATGAAGATACTCAATTACAGGGTTTTTTTTTTAATCCTAACACTTTTATTGGAAGATTTAGATATTCAAACCCCTTGTTAATTCCTTAAGAGTTAAGAGTTCCAAATCTAGATTTCTTTTACAACATAATTCCACAATTGTTTATTGAAATTAGATCCAAAATCGATCATATACCTCAAGCATATGATAGTAAAAGATCACACCAACAAACGGTTTGAAATTGGGTGTCAAAAAGGCTCGATGGCTCGGGCGGCTCGTGGCTTGTAGCAATCGAGCCTCAAAATAAAAGGTCGGCCCAAGCCCGAGCAAGCCCGTGTGGCTCACGGGCCATTTTTGGCCAGTGACAATAATGCTCGGCTCGAGCAAATTAAGGGGCAAAAAAGAAAAATTTTTAAAAAAAAAATTCAAACAGCAGGTTAGTGACCTGCTGCCTTAGGCAGCAGGTGCTGGGGCAACTATAACTGCATTTTTTACGTAGTGTAATCTATAATCGTGTAGATTTTGAAATTCAAATTTGAAAAATAACGCGGGTTTTTTATCTATAAATACAGGGTGATTTTTGAAGTTTTAAATCACTTTGTTATCGATTTTAATTCGCATTATTTCTATATTATAGATTCAGATTCAATCATTCAAATTTCAATTTCTTCTTTCTCACTTCTCATATAACAATTAATATATTCAATTTCTTTTACTCTACAGTCTAATATTCAGTATTTTTTATTATACTAGTTATTATGGATTTTACAAGTGATGAAGTTAATCAGTTTGGCGGTAGCTCGAGTACTCCATCTAACTACGATGCATGTGAAAATGTTCCAATTAATTTGGAGGATATTGAAGAGGAAGAAGTTCAAGTACTCGAGACAAAATGGTCAAAAAAATAATCATCGAATTGTTAGCAACATATGACACATAAGAAAATTGGTGTTCAAAATGGAGTAAATATTTGAAAAGCATGTTGCAATTACTGTGACAAAGAACTTAGTTGGAAGCCTGGTTCGAGCACAATGCATTTGAATAGACACGTATTAAGGAGTTGCAAAGCAAAACCAGTCGATCTTGACTCAAAACAGACCGAACTAGTGTTTGGAAGTTCTAATTCTACTTTTTCTACCTTTGTATATTCACAGATAAGATTTCATGAAGGAATGGCTGCATACGTGGCTGCAGCAGAGATGCCGCTTACGATGATAGACTCAATACACTTTACCCGACTCGTGCAGAAATATCTACAACTCAGGTATTCTTCTTATTCTAGAAATACACTTCGTTCGGATAGCATAAAATTATATAACAGAAGAAAACAAGTTGCTATTGAAGGTCTAAAAAGTTTTAACAGTGTTATATCGTTTACTTCTGATTTATGGATCGGTTGTAATAGAAAAGGTTATATTGTTACTACGGCTCATTATATTGATCACCTGTGGCTTCTACATAAAAGAATTATTGCATTCAGATGTGTAGAATATCCCCCATAATGCCACTAAGCATATACATGATTTTAAAAGATATCATACAGGAATATGGTATATAAGATATGGTTCGAAGTTTTACTTTTGATAATGCTGTAGTGAACAAAGTTGTTATTGAAAGATTTATTGCTGATCTTAACCCCGTATTTGGAAATTTATTTTTTCATCAACGTTGTGTATATCATATTATTAATTTGATTGTAAAAGTTGGATTAGAACATATAAGTTCACATTTAGATAAAATTAGACAAGCAATAAATTTTATTACTGTGTCACTAGCAAGAAAACAAGTATTTAATAGTTTGTGTGCAGAATATGGATTACAGGAGAAGTCATTTGCCACTGATGTAACATATAGGTAGAACTTATGTTACATTCGTATGAAAATTACGATAAAGTAATTTTCACTATATTATAATGGTAGGCATACACTCGGACCCGAACATAATTTGGAAGATTGGGAATGGGCTATTGCATTTTACGTGAAAAAATTCTTACAACCTTTTTTCGATGCCACAAAGGAATGTAGCGGTGTTTATTACCCTACATCTTCTCTTGTTTTACAACATTTTTTCTACATTTTAAAAGCATTTCATAAATCCACTTTTTGCTGATGTAGTCTGCTCTATGGAGTTAAAATTTTGTAAATATTGGGAAGAGTTGCCTTCTTTATTTCTTTTAGCTTCAGTAACGGACCATCGACTTAATTTAACTGGCACAAAAGCTACTGTAAATGGGACATCAGATTTTTTGAATATAGAATTATCACATGTGCATATACAAACTTTTTTATGTGAAATGTATAATTATTATGCTGAAAATGAAGGTCAGCGTAGTTCTACTTTCCAAAGTTCTTTTGCAAGAAATATTTCAACAAATTTCAAAAATTTTTGGAATTATTTAGATAGCAATACAAGTGTTTCTTCATTTAGTTCTAGTTCTAGCTCATCAACATCTAGAGCGATCAATATCCGTGGTACAAATCTTGAAATTTCTTCTGAGTTAGCTAGGTATATGTGCATGGATGTTCGTAGTGTGTTGCAACCGAACGAATACAAGAATTTAACCTTTTAAATTGGTGGAGATGTAACGAAAGGCAATATCCAATTATATTAAAAATTGAGTGTGATCTACTAACACCTCCGGTGTCTATGGTAGTATCGGAGGCTGCATTCAGTTTAGATGGTCGAATTTTATGAGATGAACGATCAAGACTAAAAGAAGACATATTGGAGGCTTTGATATGCTTGAAAGATTGTGAATGTGCAGAATTACGTGTTCAAGAACATGTTGATAGTATAATGGTCGAAGAGTTGTAGCATATCTAAACATAGGATGTTGAAAGTTTTTAAATTAATTATTTTTCTTTAAGAAATTTATTTTTTAAATTTATTTGCTTCAAGAAAAATTGTACACGAAATATTTTATTCGTGTACAATTTTAACTCTGCCTACGTTGATTGTAGTCGGTCCCAAGCCCGGAAAAATGAGGAGGATTGTAATTTGTAACTTTTATTTATTTTGTTATTCGTATAAATTACACAATTTTGAAAGTTGTACTTTTATTTAATTTGTAATTTGTATAAATAATAAATGATGCAATTTTTAAATTCTTTAAAAAAAATGTTTAAAAAAATTCATTAAACAAATTGCACTACAACAATTGGCATGTGAAAAAAATGTCATTAAAAATTGAAAAAAAATTAAAAAACCAAGCCGCCCCGGCTTGGCCTGTAAAAAGCCTGAGCCAAAAGCTTGGGCCGAGCCCTATTTTTGGCCGAGCTTTGGCTCGGCTCCACTCGGGCCCAAAAAAAGCCCGCTACGATTTACTCGAGCCGAGCCAAGCCCGAGCCGAAAAATTAGGCTCGTGAACCGGCTCGACTCGACTCGTTTACATCCCTAGTTTGAAATTGAAAGTCAATAAATACTTCGATCATTGGATGAAAAAAACTTGATTGAATTCATGAAAATCTAATATGAATTAATCCAACCTCAAACATGCCCAACAAATATAAGAAATTTAATTCCAAAATTTTTAACAATGAAAAAACAAATTATATGCAAGAAAGAATGTTAAAAAAGTCAAATCTAACATAGTTCCTTCATGACTTCACCAATTAATTTAGTTTTCCATAGATTTCTTGAGCCAAATTTGAGAGA